GCCGAGGGTGACGCTGTCGCCGTCGCTGTCGCTGGCGCTGGCGCACTCCATTATTGACGAGGAGTATGACGCGTTCACCGCAGTCGCGTCTATTTGCTCTGTGGAAATACTAATTATGTATATATGGCGATGTATCTGCAGGCGGAAACCTCGACGGCGCGTGTCAGTGAAGAGGAAGAAAAGAAATGTCTATATAATAGTAGACTATTAGAAAGAATTTTTGAAATCGGCCCAGTAGATTTTGAGTTATAACAATACACGCTTATGCAATAAATATAAATCTTTCCTTTTTATAATTATTAGTATAAAATAATTTCAAAACTCCGTCTGTGTAAAATTTAAAAATAGTAGCCGATGTGTTATTCCAGACTATTTTATATATCTGTGAAAAATTTTATCAAGATCCATAAAGCTGTTCAGGCTAAATACTCTCAAACATCATCTAATACTTTCGCATTTATATCATTAAGGAATTTTATTGCTCCTGCTTTGAATTCCCATTGCCTATTTAAATAAACTGCACTATCGTATATTACAAATTCTTGGATTTGGGTTGGATTTTTTTGGTTTGGATGGATGGATGATAGATTTTGTAGCCTAAACTATAATGACTATTAAAAAATATAGCAGAAATAAGCTGCATTTTTATTATGACAATGTTTCAAGGTCATACAAAAGCGCAAGGTCAATAATATAATACTTACTGAAGGGGTCGATAGCATGGGGCGCTATAAGGTCTGGCTCCCCGGGCTCGCTCACCACTGACACAGAGGACGCACACGACGTCGTACGTGTGCGCTCCGGACTGGAACACATAATATTTACCATTAAAAGTATATATTACATACAAAAAGAAACTGACACTACTTTCTTAAACGAAAATCTAAATATATAATTGGTGTTCGCTCGGAAGACGCTGGCAACACTCGCATACGTCAGGACCGAAAAATAACCGCGACGAAGTAATCTTACAACACGCATACTTGTCTTATATTATTATAAACTCTGTAATATTGCCCAATAAAACATTTAAACTATCGAATGGCAACAATGAAATATTTATACATAACCGACAAAAAGAGCTTCATCTTTCAAGAACGTAACCTTCAAGTGTGAAATATTGAGAGAGGATGCAAAATTAAAATTGGTGTAATTTATAAAATCAAATTAAATACTTTACTTCTGCAATGACACATATTTCACTTGCGCCCGTGACTACATCCGGATGGAATTAAAAAAACAAAAGTAAGTAGCCTATGTGTTCTTCCAGACTATTCTCTACATGTATGCCAAATTTTGGCATCTGTTCAGCCTTTAGGCTAAAAACTCTAACAAACATCCATCCATATAAACTTTCGCATTTATAATCGTACTAACTGTTGCTCGCGTCTTCGTCCCCGTGAAATTAAAAAATAATTAAAAAATAAGAGACATAGCCTATGTTACTAACAGATAATTTACCTTTCGAATGGTGAAAGAATTTTTAAAAGTGGCCTTTTTTAAAAACTACTGTTTTTGAGTTATTTCAATACATACAAAAATACAAATATTTCCTCTTTATATATAGATGACAAATATTGACTATACTGACCGTATATAATGCTGGAGTTGGTTGAGGAGAGACTCCGTGGTGGTGACTGGCGGCGGCGGCGCGGCGCTGCGCTGCCGGCTCAGCAACGCAGCGCGCGCGTGGTCGAAACATAAACTGCAATATACAATAATTACATAAGTTATAATACTATAGCTTGGAAAAAGATAATGTCAATTTCAGTCACTTAAAATGCGAAAATTCAACTATGAATTCATCTTTTATGTGACTATATTTTGATTTACAATTAAACTGACAAAAGCCACTTTGAACCACAGAAGTATAATATAAGGTAACAAATAAACTAGTGACAACATATACTTAAAATAGCAAATTAACAGCTATAAAAATATCAGAGTTAAAGAAAAAACTTTGTAATATGTTGTTTCATTAAATCTGAATTATATATGGTACTAGCTTTCACCCGAGGCTCAAGTTTAAATAAAAAAAAATGAGTAGCCTAAGTGGTCTTCCATATTATCACCTACATCAATGTCAAATTTCATCAAAATCAGTTCTGATGTTTAGGCTACAAAATGTAACAAACATCCATCTAAACTCTCCCATACTTATTAGTAAAATTGTGATTTCTGCCTACCCTCTAAGGTGACAATTGTCTTATACTCACCCTGCATCCCTAGACTGTGTGTTAGCAGGTGGTATAGGAGCTGGCTTGTTGCATCGCTGTCCTCCAGCATAAGTATGGACACACTGTTTGTATGGAGCGCCTGGCTCATGTAAGATGTGCTTCGCACAATGCTGTCGACCACTTAGCACTGCGAGTTGGCAGACGTAGCCTCGATATGCACATGAACGAGACCGTGACATTATTTCTTTTTGTAACTGGAATTTATAAATAAGTATGAAGACTATTTTAACCAACAAAAAGGAGGAGGTTCTCAATTTGTATGTTTTTTCATGTAATGTGGAAAAAGAACAAGCTATCATCTGAACTAGCTGAAATAGTAAAGCGACAGCCATTCTATCTTAAATAGACAGAATATGGGCCATACAGCAAGAGGATACTTCCTCATATGACCCCTTCCTCCATTAAATCGGTACAATCTTTACCCTCCCATTCTTTCCACGTTAAAAGGGTAGGGAGGACTAATTTAGCATACTCCGCAGACAAAATGTGGAATTACTTCCACATTACCCCTGTCTTCTGTATGTGGTGTTTAACCAGTGGAGGTGGCCGTTTGTGCAAAAGATGGTATCGCAGGCTCTACCATTGTTGCTTGAATAGCCTACAAGTATCTGTATAATTAGAAGTTATATTAACTGATATATTTGATACTTACTTGAGCTCTCAATTTCTCCTCTTCCTGTTTCTTGATGGTATCATTGTCTGGTGGCTTAATGGATTTGACATTTGTTATTCTTATTGTAGAGGCAGCACCTCTACCCCGACTAAGCATTCTCGGTTTAGAATATTGTTGACCTTTATGAGTTTCTTGACTTGTCATCTTTGATATATCAAATGGTTTATCTGCAAAATAATAAAAAAAAACATTTACATATGTTTGATAACAATAATTCTGTGTACAACATATGTAAAGTTCCTTTTTATAATAAATACAGAATTTTTATTACATGCATAGATTGATATTTGCGAGCAAAAAAGTTAAGGGTATGTCCCACCACTGGCTGATAGTGGCTCAGATAGCTTAAAAGTGACACTATCTGATATTTCCATCACATATTTTATATGTTGCGATTGTTTTCTCACAATTTACAAGAATTATGAGAACCCTAAATCTCTAGGTCCTAAGGTCTTAGAAAAATTGTAACTTTTATTGCATGAGTCATTGAGTATACCTTATAATTATACATTTAAAAATATTATAATACGCCCCAATAGGCTTTTTAAATAGATTTTAGTACTTACTACATTTTTTTTGGTTTTTCGCGATGTTTAGTTTTTTTTATAAAATAAAAAGTACTGCTATTGTCTTACACCACTTAATTTTAAAAATTTATGTGTCAAAAAATCTACAAAATATAGAAAATGTTGTAACATATGGACAATGTTTTCAAAGGACATTATGCAATATTAAAAATAATTACTTACACAGTAATATTCATTAAAATAAAAGTTAATTTTTTATGTACTTACATTCACTAATTCTAAAATTATGACTTCCTGAATTTTTCATATTAGGCCCTATTAATGAAAACATTATCGCTCGTTAACTAATTATGGTTTTTTGTTTTGGATAATTTAGTTCCTTAAAAATATTTTAATCACTCTAGTAAATATTATACGTAGAAATAAATATTTAAGTACTATGTTTTTTAGATTTCTACTTCTACGCCTCAATTCGATTTCGACACCATACTCCACGTCTACTTGGAAACCGCGAAAAGCAAAATTATCGAATACCGTCCTTATTAACTATTAATCTTTTCAAACAAATATTTTCATTACGCAAATACATCAATTTTTATGAAAAAATTCAAATAAAATTTACAAAAGTGTTGTTGGCATCGATCTGCTTCTAATATATTATTTGACGAAAGAAAAAATGAAGTGTATTGTAAACAGTGGTGGGTCGGCCATTTGCACCGAGTGACAGAGTTTTTAGGTGCGTTATTTTAAAATGCTCTATTTGTTGCAAAAAGTGTATGAAATGTGATAAAAATATGTACAAAAGAATCAGAAGCCTTTGTTCTATAAAATTAGACATAGTGATACACTTATCCATACCTGTGCTTGTTGCAGATCACCATTCTGTCACCGGAGACCTCACTACGTTAACCACTAAGTTTTTCAATGGCGGCCGTTTGATTATACACACCAAGTTTACAAGTATAGTGATGTTATATTTTCATACATTTTTATAAGTGTTGTTAAAGAGATAAAACTTCAGTTATTATTTAGTCATAGTTAATGAACATTTTAATACAATTTAACTTAACTATGCCATTTCTTATATTGTAAAATCTTTCAAATGTTATCGTCGCCTGCATCCGTCCGCCGCTGTCATAGCGCTGTCTCTTTTGCACTCGGGCACATAAACGGATCTAAATTTTCCGTCGTGCTTCTTCGCGCGCAGTCATTGGAACATTCGTTCAATGGCTGGAGGACAAGAGAAATGGTATTTTACAAAAGAGCAACTACAGAATTCTCCAAGCAGAAGATGCGGTTTAGATGCAGATAAAGAACTTGCCTACCGGCAGCAGGCAGCGAACCTCATTCAGGATATGGGCCAACGGCTCCAAGTGTATCCTTTTCAATGTGGCGATTTCAGTGCAATGTTTTTGTCAAGTCATGTGCGTAAAACGTGTAAAACACGCTACTATTTAGTGTTTATTTTATATCAAAATAGTTGTAAATCTTCATTATAGTAATAGGAAAGTTTGTGTCGAGTGTTATTACGATGTGCGGTAGTGAAAAGTATGACGAAATATCTTAAAGTAATGATCGCTGTCATTACTTTCCCTCGGTTTGCTGGGATTTCCCGCCGCCTCGTGGGCTGGGATAAAGTTTTCATAAGGTAAGAGAGTATTCTTTACTTATGAATAGTTTGTTATCATTCGTAGTAATTAAGGTTAGAGCCGCGTGATGGCGTGATAGTTTTTTTAGGTCAGTGATCCTTGACAGCTGTGAACGCCTGCGCGTGTGACGTAGGGTCTGGCGATCGACCTGCCCCGCTAATTTTAACCGCCTTTTTCCTGTTAAATTTGCACGTCTTGATACACGTTGTTTTATCGTTTCCTGTTATTGACCCTAGAGAGATAGCGTTGTTATTAATTCATATATGTTGATGCAATTATCAATAGCAGTGTTGTTATAACGTCATTCGTAAAATAACTTCGTTCCACGTTACGTTTTTTAAACGACATATAAATTTTAGTCTTAACCTTCAAACCATGGCCTAATACAAGCTTATGTTTAGTTACCAATGTTATAAATAGTGAAAATGTTTGTAACAAAAAATTGTTAAAAGGTATGCAGTCATTTTGCATTATAGGTTTTTAGGAATGTTTAAATTGTTGTACTTCAATTCTGTGATATTTTTAATAATCATATTTAAAACAATTAACTTGTAGGACAATGTTATCTTTTTCTTGGAAAAACTTCAACAAAGTCCCTTACAATATTTCACAACATAACAATACATTCCATTAACAATAGAGGATTATATCTACCTGCCTGTACCTTTTTAAATGCACTCAAAATGAACAGTACAACTTGTAAATAAACCTGTTGATACGTTTTTGTAAGTGATTTTGAAGTAATATTGTTACCAAGAGAATTTGTTTGAACAAAAAATGATACACAATAAATAGTGATAACTTTCTCGACATAAATAAATATGTTGTTTCCATAAAACTGATGTGTCATTAACCTTGATTATAAAAAGAAGTATTGGACAAATATTATTTCTTAGCATGACATTGATTTTCCAGAATTTTGATTATCATATTATTGAATTTCATTTAATCTGTCAAGCCAAGGAGAAATATACATGACGGTTTGCAAACCAGTTGCATGTTATGGAATGGGTTAACCCTTATTATTGATTAGCTTAACTTCGTCCATGTGAAATTTAAAAAAATTGGCCTATGATACTCAGCAATATGTTAGCTTTTAATGTTGAAAGAATTTTTAAAATTAGCCTAGTAGTTTTTGAGAAATTACAATACATATAAAAATTCAAAAATACAAAACATTCCTCTTTATGATATTAATATAGATGACACATTTTGCAGTTTTAAATAGATTAGTACAACATTTTTTTGAATTAATAACCTGATTGGATCAACCAGTACCTTGGGTTCCTTTAAGTAGTGAGCCTATAATTACTCAAAGGCTGCCAATGCAGCTGTAGTTCCTCTGGTGTTACGGATGTCCATGGGCATTGTTGACCACCTCAGTGTTCCCACCACTCTTTGGCCCTTCTTTTATATAAAAAAATCTACCATTCTGTCCTCATCTTGCATGTGCTAAATCTAAATACCTATTATTGGTTTTAAATCTAAAATTCTCCTTAAACTTCCTTTATGATTCATGATTTGTCACAATGCACTAACAGTTACAGTAGACCTTGCCAGTTGACATTGGTATGTTATCGTGCAGTGATAAAACATGTTAGCGTAAAATTGTCGTATGAAGTCATGAAATATGCAATAAAAATATTTGTACTAAATGCGTAGTATTGCGATATCAAGATTGTAAAGTATTCGGTAGCACAATAGTGTTACAAATAGGTGTTTAAAATGTAACGAACAAGCATGAATATGCAGATGACAGGATTATTTGAGTTCCCATCTTGTATGCTTATTAGGATATCATATAAAACATTGCATTTGATGTTATGTATTAATCATACTTTTTACTTAATACTAATATTATAAATGCGAAAATTTAGATGGATGGATGTTTGTTAGAGTTTAAAAGCCTAAACGGTTTAACGGATTTTGATGAAATTTTGTATAGATGTAGACAGCCTGGAAGGACACAGGCTACTTACTTTTGTTTTTTTTAATCCACGCGGACGGAGTCGCAGGCAAAAGCTAGTATAGCCTATATAGTCTGTTAAACAACATTGTAAATATAAAATTAATTTGCTACAAATTATATATGTTTACTCAGAAGTACCGTAACAAGAGGAAAATACAAGGAAATAAATTAATATCAATTTAATACCATGAGTCACTAACAGCTGTGAGTCAAATGGTTCATTTGCGTTGTATTTTAGAGCGCGAAAAATAACGCGGAAAAGCTCAATGACTAATGTCTTATCATGAGTGACTTTGTTTGACTTTTTGTAGGTTTGTTTTGCATTGACTTGTTGACATTCTCTTTTTAAGAATATTCAAAGTGTGGTGCAATTATTAATGCAGCTTTACTTGTTGGGTTCGTGACCTGACTTACAACTGGAAGTTCTTGTTTAGTTAGATTTTTATTAAATAGGATGCTGTGTTCTGTCTATATGTTTTAAAGTACAAAAATTTATTAATGCTTAACTATATTGGATAGGACAGATTTTTACATTTAAAGTAGTGCTTTATTATACTTTTTAATATGTGGTATGCATGAAAAATTAACCCAATATTTTTCATTGTTGCAAATAACTGGATGGGGCAAAGTGTCTGTTATTTTGTTCACAAGAATATTGACTGTCATTGTAAAGTACGGTCAAAGACGTTAAAAAAATATATAGACTCATTTAACAAAATTTTTACCCGGTACTTAGTCTGAAAGGTACTATTTCAGTAGAAACTAAGTTGATTCAAAAATGTTTCATGATAATATCAAGCTATGTTACGTCACGATGAACCGAAACACGACGAACAATAGTGAAAGCCGGCTAAACGGGACACGTACGGTTGTACCGCTTTTTTGCACGCGGCCGCAAAAAAACTTTTTACATGCAAAACGACGAGCTAGGTCAGATGAATCGACTCTTTCATCGTAAAAATACCACGACCTTATAACCTTAATAAGATAGGTAGTAACTTTAGTTTACCTTTGGGTTATGGTTTCATAAATTTTGCCAATGTCAGTACTTGAATTTTATTGTTTTTAAAATAGTTTTCCTTTGTGAACTATGTTCTGTGGGTGGAGTTTTTGTTCTATTGTGTAATGCAGTTGAGTTACTTAAATTTTGTTAAATTACAGTTATACATTTTAGACACAGAGTGAATTTAGTCCATGGTTATATATATCACATCTTGATACAGTAATTGTTACTGTTTTTAGGTCAATATTCTTGATAATCAATGTCCTTCAAACTGAAATACAGGTTTGCATTATGACTATTGTGTAACACATATTTGTCTAAATTGATGATTTTTTTTTTAATGATTTCTTTCACTAAAATGACAGAATTTGAACTCTTGACTATGACTTAGAATAGGTGTTCTTGACAATGTAAAGGCCCACTTTTGCGGGAAATAATAATTAAATTACACCCTGCCATTGTTTTATACGCAAAATATTTTAAAAATATAACCATATAATCTTACTAGATATTATCTTGGTAAGTTTTTGTTAAATTATGCTATTATCTTAACCATGGGAATGTCTATAAAGTTTAACTAATACCCATATTAAAATGAATAAGTAAATTATACAAAATGCACTTGATTTAACATTGTTTCTAGAAATAAATGTAATTTGTTATTCTAATACGATAGGTGTTACGTTTTACGCACATGAACTAGTTCACTTGGCCTGTATTTAGAAGAGAAAATGTACCTTTTGTATGTATATTTTTGTGATGTATCTGTGTCAGAAAAATCTATTTCCTTAACAGCTATTTTACAGTTCACAATTATGCATCAACACGGCTATTGTGTATATGCATCGCTTCTATGCGTTCCACTCGTTTACACAGTTCCACAGGAACGCAATCGCCGCGGCGGCTCTCTTCCTCGCCGCAAAGGTAACTGTTAATATACTAAAAAAATATTTTCATTTACATTTATTAACTAGTTATTGTGATTTTATAAACATATGTCTATATTTTAGGTGGAGGAACAACCACGAAAATTAGAATATGTAATAAAGGTAGCACATGTCTGCCTTCACCGGGGTGAGGGAGTGAATGCCCTCACTTCGGAACAGTATCAAGAACAGGTAAATTAAATAGTTCATGTTTTACATTTGATTAGTAATAGGTTGGGTATATAACAGCACTGGTTGTTACAGGCGCAGGACCTGGTATTCAACGAGAACGTACTCCTACAGACGTTAGGTTTCGATGTCGCGATCGACCATCCGCACACGCACGTCGTACGCACGTGTCACCTTGTCAAAGGTGAGACAAGCGTCCGCATGCGTTGCGAGTTGATCGTCAAATGACCCGATCAGCACGTTTCGTTACACGCTGGCGATGCGTTCCCCCCAATCTATGGCGACGATGCGGCGCGTTCCGATTTACGTATGGATAAGCGTACGGCCGGTCTAATTTTATATGCGGTGGTCGTTTTGAGATGGTTTGAGTTACCCTTTTACGATAGGAATTTGTTTGTCTTCCATAATGCTGTAATTTTTTTAATAATTCGTATTAGCACATGAGGCTGCACTTTCAACGAGTTTAAAAGTGCAATTCTAAGTGCTTATTTTTTTTTGTGGGAATGTATAAGAGTATGAACATATTTTTTTAACAACACTGAAGTCAAACAAACGTTCGTAATAAGAGGTGGCAAAACCGTTTCTCAAATACCGCTTAGACTTGCCGCGTGCGATCCGAATAAAATTAAAATGATGAGATCCACAAGGGGCATAGTGTCACCCATTTACCAGCAGCTAGAGGTATGTGACAACTGACTGGAAATAAATATTTGTGTGTCCACCCTCCACCTCTCACGCACATCAACGCAACCCCTTTTCAACCCCTAGTAGGTTATAGTTGCGGCTACAAGTCTATTTATTCATTTTATCATCTTTTGTAATCATCAACTGTATTAATTTTGAATAGTCTTATATTTTTAATTCAATTATTTTCGTCATATACAGGGTGTATGAAGACCATATCCAATGAAAGACATACTTAAAATATAGTCCATTTACGCTTATTCATACTTGATTATTTTATAATAATAAATGTTTTAAAATAACTATATTTTAAAAAAATCTCATTTTTTCAAACAGAATTTATAGTCTTTCGTTGTACAGTTATTTCAGTCACCTGTATATTAAGTATTTATTAGTTTTTTTTTTTGAATAGACTTATTTCCATAACTATACATTTTAATATTATTTTAATCCTGCATGATATATACCAGAAACATTAGTTATGCGAATAATATGTTACATGTCATTTACCATAGCGTATGTCGTATATTTTTCATATTTTTATTTAAGTGTCATTTAAGCATCCTAATCATATCGCTTTATTGTTTTTTATTTCAAATTAATTCATTAAAATTGAAAAGTGTAAATTTGTCAATTTCAGCGCCAAAGGACTTAGCGCAGACGTCATATTTCATGGCGTCGAACAGTCTGCATTTAACGACGATGTGTTTGCAGTACAGGCCGACGGTTGTTGCCTGTTTTTGCATACATTTGGCCTCGAAATGGAGCAATTGGTCGGTGAGTCAAGATTCAAGTTGAATTTACATAAGTCTCTTTAGAGATAATGCTTACCCCATTCTTATATCAATATCTCCTGTATAGTACGCTATAGTAGTACGCTAATAAAAATTTTACTTATGTTATAAATGCGAAAGTTTGGATGGATGAATGGATGTTTGTTAGAGTTTATAGCGTAAACAGGAGAATGAATCTTGATGAAATTTGGTATAGATGTAGAGGGTGGTCTCAGGCGAAAGCTAGTATCTAGATATGTCAAAAAAATTATATCTAGTACCATACAAAAGTAATTCAAACTGTAGCAAATCTTCAATTTCTGTCCCTGTGGTATTTAAATGAAATGTAACATAGTAAAATGCTAGATTTTTTTTATATCAGATACCTCAATCGCACGAAGGCCGGCACTGGTTCTCGTACGTGGACCGCAGCGTGACCACGGAGTTGCTGGAGCGGCTCACGGCGGAGTTCCTGCACATCTTCGACAAGT